CACACACACTAAAGATAACCCCAAATTTCGTGAACGCAATATTAACATTGTGCAATGATCCCATAACACGGTACAACAAGGTAAACAGTGTACTGTGTCATAAGATTGACATCAGTCTGCTACATAAATGCTCTATATTGTAATGTAATAAAGGAAGAACGGTCAGGTATCCATCCATCCTCTGTACTCTTCTGCACCTTTCTCCTTGCCACAACACCACACATCCTTCCTCCTCATGGTCAGGGTGTTCCTGCTTTTGTACACCACCTCCTCCAGTTTGACTCATTATCCTGTACACGATACTGCACTCAAGTTCAGTAAACATATTTTTCCAGTGCCTACTTTTCAGTGGGACACCTCCAGTTTTGCAGAATAAAAATAAAGTTTGATCGCTAGAGTCTGACCTCATTTCTCCAAACTAATATATCACATGTTAAATTGAGTATAAAAAATGAGTAAGCCCCTGCCCCAAAGGCCTACAGGTGGAGGGGCTGAAACAGATGTTGGTGATTGAGAAAAACCTCAACAATACCTTTTTAAAAGTTAAATACAGTCACTTTCCTGTGGTGCAGTTGAACTCCTGTGCGAGCATCAGAATGTGGAGTAAATGTGATTTAAGTGACTTTGAAAGTGGCATAGTTGTTGGTGCTGAAGTCCAAGTATTTCACAAACTGCTGATCTATTAGGATTTCCCCCCAGAGCCATTGCTCTGGTTTACAGAGAATGATCCAAAAAAGAGAAAATATTGAAGCCAACAGTTACTCAATTACTTTTTACATCCAAGATATGCAGAATAGTATCTGTCTGCATTGTTCCATCCTGCTTTATATCAGCATCGAAGACGACTGAAGTGATGTAATGGTGTGGGGGATATTTTCTTGGCACACTTTAATCCTCTTGATGCCAACCAACCCTAAATTTGATGCCAGAGCGTGTCTGAGGATCATTGCTGACTATGTCTCTATCGCCAAAGTCAAAGCCATCTTCTGATGTCTGCCATTGTCATATCATTTCAAACTGGTTAGTTGAGCACGACAATGAGTTCTTTGCACTCAAATTGCCTCTGTGGTCAGCAGATCTCAAAATCATTGTACACTTAACAAAGTAGCCGGTGATTTTAGACCCCCAAATCTGAGGATGTGCTTAGGACCAAATTCTAGAAAAATGGATTCGCACTTGGATGTGTTTAAAATATGTCTGTTTGTCTGTTGCCTCCAGGTCATGAAAATGTTTTGAAAACTGCAAAAACTCTTGAGCTTGACACACTGACCATGTAATTGCGTCTGCGCAGTGACTCAGCGGACAGCCTGTTCATCACTCAGAAGCCTGTACCTGAGGCTGTGAGGTCAGGAAGACGCAAGCGCCGCGGCCTACGATCAGGTCTCACGTCTCCCAGAGAGCGAGAGGAAAGTGAAGATGACAGTTCACCTTCGGCCTCCCTTCAAGACACCAGAAGTAAAAGGAAAAAAAAAGAGACAAAACTCAGAATGCCAAAGTACAGTTTCCCGTTCCTCAAAGACAAGATGCCGAAAGCCAAGGGCATTTTTTTAAGTGAAGTGCAAAACACGAGGCTACATGTAAGCATAAGCAACAGCAGCAGAGCACACGCTTGTTACAGCAAATGCCAGCAAATGTTGGAACTAAAGCCTTTTATTTGTTCCAGTATTCTTCAATGGGGGCCTTCTTTGATTGTATAAGAAAGCTGCAACAGAGCTATCAAACCGTAGAGGATCTGGAGTCAAATTTACCAGCAATTGACGTGAATGGAGAGTGCATATCTCCAATATCAGAGTAAGTCTTTAATGCTAGTTGAAATGTTGTTTTGTTACTGATTTCCTTAGTTGCCTTTAAAGCTTGTTTTTATGTTTTTACACTGTATTTCACTTCCTTTTATGCATTTGAATCATTTTTTTCTGTCTCATGTTGCTATTCTCACTACATCGTAGAACAGTAATATATATTGGAAAGTGGTGAATAATGTAGCGAAAAAAATGGCAAAGAAGGCAGGCTGTGTTTCAGACGCCTCAAAGTATCCACTTTTTCTTCTGGAACGTGTTCAAGCAACTCCCGAGTCTTGTCAAAAGATGAGTGGTGGGATGTTTTCCTCCTTTATGTATTTAGACCATGAGAGACACAACTAGGATAATTCATAGCATATTAACAAAAATTGAAAAATGAATCATCGGACCATGAAGGTGAAGTTCTTGACATTCTCCATCCTCTTTGGCCTT